CTCCCAGCGCTGGGCCCGTCCGCGCTGCTCGCTTCCCAGCCAGCCTGGAAGTGATCAGCGGGGACGGACTCAGTGCCGGGAGCCAGAGCCCAATCGGGAAGCCATTTGAATTTCCCACCTTTTTCCCCTGCCTTTTTTTGTCCATAAGGAGGCCTCCTGGCAGCAGTGGTGGAAGCAGGGAGGCTGAGGAGGCTTCAAACTGGTAAAGTGCTGCTTTTTCCTTTTTTAAAAACTGTTCTGGGTGGGTTTTGGATAGTGGGTTTGGACTGGGGGGTTATGTTTCTGTGCTATGTTGTTTTGTTTTTGGATTTGTGTTTTGTTTTGTTTTTGCAGTCCCAGTGTAGGACTTGCTCTGTTTATTTTTATTTTGTTTTTTTTTTTTAAATGCTAGAACAGATTAATTCCCATGCATTTCAATGGGAAATGTTGATTTGACTTATGAACATTTTGACTTATGAACACCATTCAGTTATGGATTAAGTTCATAAGTCAAGGCACCACTGTATAATACTAGGGCAAGCATCCCCATATGTTTTAACGTCACCAATCCATTTCCTACTGTTTGAAACATTATGACTGGCTACACCGTGGAACTGATTTATATTATTTTGCATTCAATGCCCCCGCCCCATACTCTCCATCCTAGACAGTAGGCAAAGGAAGTTTCTCCCAGCTGCAGTGCCTCCTTCCTCTGGCAAACAAATGCCAAGTTAACTTCCCAAGCTTGGCTGTGCAGCAGATGTGACAGAAGCAGAGCCAGTTTGGAGGAAAAAGTCCCCAGAAGGGCAGTCAGCTCCGCAAACAACACTCCCCACCCCCACTACCACCTGTGCTGGCTTGGTTGCGCCCACAAGTGGCAAATAAGCACAGTAAAATGGGAACAAAAACCCAACCCTCTGCCTTGTCCGAAGCAAGAAGGCAAGGAGGTGGGTGGACGGACAGACGGCGGACTGTTGGGTAGACATGGGAGGGAGATCTGTGCCTGCATTGGTGAAATGAAGCCGGGTCAGCCTCTCCCCTCTTTCCCTACTAGCTCTGACAAGAAGCATGTGGGAGGATGGTAGATGGCTTTATGTGAATTGCAGAGTGTCTTTACCCCCTTGGCTGGGAATGGATCTGGAAGATCAACCCCTGAACCCAAAGGCGGGAAAAGCTAATGTTCCTTGAGGGGAGGCTTATCTACAGCGAAACCATAAACCCCACATATACCTTCTTATTGTGGAGAAATCGATAAAAAGGGAAACTAAGAGGAGAGAAAGGGAGGAGGCAGCTTTGGAGAGTATGGAGAAGAGAGGGGGAAAAGAATCAATAGGGATGTTTACACAATCAATACTGGTAAGGAATGTTTTGATACGTCATCAGTACAAATGAAAACAATGCTCCCGGTGAGGGGGAAATATTCCTCAGTTACACCACTGACTGGGAAAATGATTTGGTAATGGTTGTGCATCGTGTGACTGGAAATTTATGTAATAATCTAATGGAATATAACTGGAGAAACTTTGGCTGGTATGGTCAGGCCCTCAGTTCTTTTCCAAAGACTAGAAAGATTTACAGGTAAAGCTTCCTATTTCTCCAAATTGTTACGCGTCTTTATAGGAAGATTTCCCTTTAAATCTTCCAAGTCTTTGGAAAGGAACCAAGACAAAAGTTTACCACTACTTTTAATGTTTGATAACTGGCACAGCAAATCCGTGATGCTTTGCCAGCAGTTAAAAAAACACCACACCATCCTTTCAAAGCATCGCTGATAGTGTTGGCAACAATTAAAAAGATGTGTCCTGCCCTCCAAAGGAGAGCTCAGAGGAAGTGTTCAATTAAGCAGCTTCTCTCAAGTGACAGGCATTATGATTCTGAGAATTTATTCCATTTCAAGGAAAGCAAATTCCTTTAAAATTGAAAGATCTAATGATGCTAAAGGGTTGCTTGTGGTTTCCTGATCAAAAACCTCCCGATCCTTGCATCCACACCGTACCCCACATCTCTCCACAATCTTAAGTGACCTTATTTAGCCTGCTCCAATTTGGTGTCTATCCAAACCCTAACTGAAGTATTGTGACTCTATTAGGATGGAGTGTGTGTGATTGCAGATGTTGTGTGGATTATTGTATGGGTTTGAGTGGATACATCTCACTTAGAGATGGCATTGTATGAAATCCTTTGAAGCTCTCCCAGGACATACCATTTTGTGTTCTCCTCCCATTCATAGAATTTATTTGGAAAATAGAGATTCAGGCACACACATTATGTCATGGCCCTTGGAGAAAGTAGGTTGTAATTAGAGGGTATTTGTATATAAATACCTCCCCACAGGTCGAGATAACACTCCACTCACTGTTGTGCTGCTGCCATGGGCTCTGCGCTCCTTTCCTATCACTCTAGAGCTTGTGGTGGATTAGCCACTCTTTGACCTGGCAGAGAGGCTCATCATCCCACATCCTGCCAGGAGTGGCTAATCCATCGCGAGCTCCGGAGCGATAGGAAGCGAGTACAGAGCTCACAGAGCAGCAGGAGGTGAGTGGACAGTCTGGCCCCAGGGGGTAGAGCTTGTGGTGGATTAGCCACTCTTTGACCTGGCAGAGAGGCTCATCATCCCACATCCTGCCAGGAGTGGCTAATCCATCGCGAGCTCCGGAGCGATAGGAAGGGAGTACAGAGCTCACAGAGCAGCGGGAGGTGAGTGGACAGTCTGGCCCCGGGGGGGCTGACCCTCGTTATCTCCACCTGTGGGAAAGTATTTGTATACGACTACCCCCATCTCTAGTTGTAATGTCTTCTATAAGGTACAAGATGGGTCAGTCCTGATCTGTATTGCTTTTATTTGGATAGAGAGTGAGTCAGGAAATTTCTGCACACTCCTAATAATAAGTGGGTGTTTCCCATGGACATTGAAAGAATCTGCAGAGGTATATTCCATTAGGACTGAGAGAACTTGATTTAAGTATTAGGACTGTATCACTCCTTTCTTCCTCTTCAGACGTTTGTTTAAATATTTGAAGTCCCAAAAAGCAAGAAAAAATATATAATGTAAAGCCACTGAGAAGAATTTATTTTTTTACCACTGCTAATATTTCAAATCAAAATATAAAATGTTACATTTCAGAGCAACAGCATTTTTACTGTCGATACTCGAGAAATCTTTGTAGTTATGTATCACTAATAATTTTCATTATTGTTGTTCACAATATAAAAATATCAAATGTATTATGTAGAACAGTTTCAACATACTGATTAACAGTGCATGCTCCCTAAGAAATAAGGATCCCATTGAATTCAATGGGAATTTACTTCCATGGGTTTGTAGGGTTGCAGCCTAATTCCCACCACCCATGGTTGATTATTGTTTTGCTTTTGCTTTGTTTTGCTCCTGGAAGTACTAGACAAGGCTATCTTATATTTACAAAAGTTTTGTTCTATTATATGCCAAGAAAGATTGACTTGAGAATGACCCATAAACTGGTAGCAGGATCCACCGCAGCTCCTCTATGATGCCTGGTGTGGTCGTTTAAAGTGATGGAACTCAGGCGGGAGAGGTCACTTTCTGGTGTGTTGCTCATCACCAAATACCAGAATGGCGCGAATACTGAAAATATCAGAAGACAGCTTAAGTTTAAAGGTAGTGACATCTGTTCCCAAAGTGAATACGCTGGATCCAGACTTTGTCATACTTCAAGCAGAGCCACTGAAATCTGTGGGATGTAGCTAATTAAATATGGATCCAATTTTTAAAAATGGTTTATTTCTCATTTTTCCCTGCCAAATTTGCACTGCGAACTTAATTCTTAAATGCACACTGAATATCTGAGACAGGCAAATATGAACAGAAATGAATGAGAAAATTCTGCCAAAATTAAACTTTTTTTTTTTTATTCCACTGAGGGTAAAAGAGAAAATTGTCCCTTGAAATAAACAAACAGCGGCCACTGCTTATGTTTCATCTAACAGAAATATCACAAAAATGCTTTTGTTTCATGGGCATCACCCTGTTGCCTACAGAGTACTGAGTTCTCTCCATATATTATGAAAAGCAAATGCAACATCCAGTGTTAGAATTGAGTTCTCTCCATATATTATCTATTCAGAAAAGCAAATGCAACATCCAGTGTTAGAATGCATCCATGGACACAGTAATGTATTTGTGTGTTCTGCTCAGAGAGTTTGTCATTATGACATAGCAGCCTGTTAAATCTGCATTTCACAGATGGAAAAGCCAAGTTGTTTCCCTCAAAGAAACATCTCAAGTTCCTAAAACCTGTCTACCTTCTATTCGTGCATTTCTAACTATCAAAACTTTTCCTCTGCAGGTAAAGGTAAAGGTAAAGGTTCCGCTTGACAATTTTTGTCCAGTCGTGTTTGATTCTAGGGGGCGTTGCTCATCCCCATTTCCAAGCCATAGACCCAGCGTTTTTGTCGGAAGACAATCTTCCATGGTCACATGGCCAGTGCGACTTAGACATGGAACGCTGTTACCTTCCCACCGAGGGGGTCCCTATTTATCTACTTGCATTTGCATGCTTTCGAACTGCTAGGTTGGCGGGAGCTGGGACAAAGCAACGGGAGCTCACTCTGTCGTGTGGATTCGATCTTACGACTGCTGGTCTTCTGACCCTGCAGCACACAAAGGCTTCTGCGATTTAGCCTGCAGCGCCACCACGTCCCACTTCCTCTGCAGACACCATTGCAATTTGGTGAGGGATTTAATAATTCTCTCTTAGCATACACCTATTAAGTCCTGGAAGATCAGCTCCTAGGATTCCTAAGGAATCACTGCGATACTAAAATCAATTTATATTTATGATGTATGCAGAGATTCCTAGTCCACTGCCTTTCTGACCAAATCTGTTTGGTTTTGACTGGGTGAAGAACAGCTATGAAAAGAGAAGGAAGGTTTACCTTTTCCCTTTCCGGAGCAGCTCAAACCCTTCATTGATTTTATCAAAAGGCAAAATATGAGTTATTAATGGATCCAAACAAAACTTTTTTGCCATGAAATCTGAAACCAGCTGTGGGACTGCATCTTTGCTTTTCAGCCCTGCAGATGAGAAAAGAAAACATAGATTACAAAACTATGCAAAGTTTAGATTTTAGGTTTTATGTTAGATTTATTAAATTAGATTTGATTATCTTTTTATTTTATTACTGATGAGGGAGAGAGATGGGTGGGTGGTTCCCCCCAGCACCAACCTAAAAAGCGGACCACGAACCAGTTCGTTTTTCAGGAGCCACAAACCAAAACCCATCATGAACCACTGGCTCATTTATGTATATTATATTGTTTGGATTTCCTTTTGACTGTAAACTGCTTGGAGTATAGTGCCTGGCACTAATTGGGTGTCATACAAGTAAATTAAACAAACAAACAAACAAACAAAATGTTTTCATAGGTTTGGTAAACCAACTGATTTCTGGTCCAAGTCAGATTTACACCCTTCTATCCATGTTACAGCAGTCATGTTGGCTACAGTTGATGGGAACTGTAGTCCAATTGTAAATTGCCTAGCCATGATGTAGAGTAACCAGCTATCTATGAGGGCATTGAAATTGCTGAAAAGTTGTGGATACTCCAATCCAGCAGTGTTCTTGAATCTCGTTGCCGGTCTGCTGCAATGAAATCTGTTGCAATGGTCTACTGCAGTGCTTCCCAACCTTGAATCACCCAGGTGTTCTTGGACTGCAGTTCCCAGAAATCCCAGCCAACAGAGCTGGTAGTAAGAACTTCTCGAAGCTGCAGGCCAAAAACACCTGGGTTACCCAAGTTTGGTAACCACTGGTCTATTCTATACATCCCATAAGGTAAACATGTAATTACAGCATTCAACAGTCAGTTAAGATTAATAAATTAATAATTGTGGCCATACCTCCAAATACACATGCCAGAGAAGTCTGTAACTCGAAAAGTCTGTAAGTCGAGCCGTCTGTAAGTCGAGGGTCCACTGTACAGCATTCAACAGTCAAATAAGATTAATAAATTAATAATTGTGGCCATACCTCCAAATACACATCCTTTCCAAGTGCGGCCTGTGAAGATAAGTGCTGGGGAGAAAGTCATCTCAGCTGCTGAAGGAGGTGCTCCCACCACTACACTAATTCCATAGTTCATGTTGCAGGAAGCCAAGGCAGCAATCTAGAATAAAATCCAGAATCACACATTTGAATCAAACAGAGGATCTGCCATGACAGAAATTGCTTTCAACGAACTGCTCTTCTCAGTTATGGTTTTACTGTTCGATCATAGTAAGTAAGAGACCAAGCTGCATAACGACAGTAGTTAGGCTCCGGAGACAAACTAACTGACAGAAATCCAAAGAAGAATGTTCCAGTCACCCGTTCCTCTTGTAACCATTTCCCATCTATATGGAAGGCTGAGAGATGAAAAGTGAAAGACTAGCTGCAGAGATGTCTGGAGGAGGGAATTGTTCTGAAGAGTTACCATTAGCCCAGTACCTTCTGACATATATGCAACTTGCCTTGTTTTACAGTTACTCTTCAGGCCCTAAGCACAAGATTCCACAAGAGTCTGGCTTTTACAACATGAAAGACTGCCCTAGACTTGTCTCTTCAACCGCCATGTTCTTTAAGCTCTAATTACGGGCTAGCTATAATGTCTGTTTCTTTCTTGTGCTTTCCTAGGTCCATTTTTTTTCTGTTCAAAAATACAAGTAGGTGGCGAACTTCTGAAGCTGCTTTTTAAAACTGCATAACAGCCAGCAGAAAAGTTCTTATCTGATCATATGAGGCTCAGTCATTACTAACAGAAAAGTCAAGATGAAGAGTATAATTTGATTCAGCAATTGGATGATGCAGCTAGAGAGGAAATTTAGTAGTTACATAAAGCAAGATGCTTCCTATTGATTCCTTAAGTCAGCCTTTCTCACCTTTTTTTTTGCCACGACCACAAACACAATATGAAAGAAATACAGTATAGGACTTTTTTTTTTGGCCATGACCACAAACACAATATGAAAGAAATATAGGCTGAATCAGGATTGTATAAATTGCCTAACAAAACTTATAAGGTTGTGTGTGAAGAATTGTTTCCAGTCTGTAGCCCCTTTCAAATGTGCCAGGGCAACCCAGGGGGGCATTAGGCCCCTATTCAGAATGACTGCCTTAAGTCATATGCCTCCCTCCCGCCCCAATTATTTTAAAACTGCAATACATTCTCCGGTCACCTGTAGTGGTGGACTACAGAGGAACAGACATAAGGCTAGCATTTAAATCTGCTTGCAAACTGGCCTGAGGCCACAGGGAGTAAATAGAAAAACCATCTTCTAGACTCCTTGATTTAAAATGCCCAGCATTTTTGTTTATGCCACACACCCAAGCGATCTTGATCAAATAATTTACTGGAGGAAAAGCTGGGTAAAGATGAAAATCAGAAGAATACGGGGTTTATTTTTAAAAAGTTCTGGTCTGTTACAATGCTATTTTGATGCACGTACCATGGTATCTGTGCGCCCAATCACTTCAAATGAATAGTCTACGCCTCTACCGTTAGTCATGTCAAACAGCACTTCATTGATGGGCTTCTTGAAATCCAGAGGGCTGATACATTGGGTGGCACCCAGCTGTTTAGCCAGAGGGAATTTATCCTTGTTGATATCAATCCCAATGATCTCGGAAGCACCAGCTGATTTACAGCCCATGACTGCAGAGAGACCCACTCCTCCCAGCCCAAAAACAGCACAGGTAGAACCAGGTTGAACCTGCAACATAAAAAATAATATCATTTCATTTGGAGAATCTCAGCAATGTGGAAGTAATCTTTATGTGCTGTATATTGTATACTTTCTGTTATGAAACTAAAATGAAGTAAGTTATTGTGGGAAAAGTTTCATAACTGATAAGTGATAGAAAGGAATTTAGGGCATGACACAAGTTCCCCATGCAACAGATCGCCCACCTGTGTTGTAATCCGTACCTTTGCAGATTTGATGGCAGCCCCATAGCCGGTCGAAAATCCACAGCCAATCAAGCACACTTTTTCAGGAGGAGCTGCAGCATCAACTTTGACCACACAATCTTCATGCAAGACAGTGTATTCCGTGAAGGTACTGGTGCTAAAAAAATTGTGAACTGGCTTCCCTTTGTAAGTGAACCGGCTGGTGCCATCATACATTACTCCTCTAGGTACACCAAGGCTTTAAAATATGAAAAAAGGAGATTGGAATGTTGGTTCTGGTCTTCCACAAGGACGAGAAAGATTGCAGCACCAGAGCATTGTTACTCCCTTCCATATAACAAAAAATAATAAATACTCACTCATTCTTTTCACACAGGTTGCCTTCAGGATTTTTGCAAACAGTGCATTCCCCACACTGGGGGAGAAAGAGTGGAATGACTTTGTCCCCTGGGGATTACAAAGAGATAATTGTGAAGTCTCCATGAAGGCTGACAGTAGGAGTGTGCCCATAAGGAAAAAATGCAGATAGTTCTACAACTATAATCGTGTTCATTTGAACGACCCCCTACCCTGCCTGAGTTTGGTGGCATCCTAGTTACATTTACCACAAGGGAAAAATGCAGATACGTCTACAACTGTAATCATGTTCATTTGAATGACCCCTACCCTGCCTGAGTTTGGTGGCATTCTAGTTACATTTTACCATTGCTGACAGGCTGTAGACTTTGTCATACCTGGCTTCAAATTGGTAACACCTTCTCCAACACTCTCCACAATACCGGTTGCTTCATGACCAGGAATAACGGGAAAGTTCGTCTTTATTGAGCCACTCACTATATGGTCATCTGTGCGGCAGATTCCAGTAGCCAAAATCTGGAATGAAGGTGAAAGACAGCTCGCTGCAAAGAGAACTGTTTCCGGTTGTGATATCCTTATACAGTTAAAGTGGCAGCACTGGCAAGTTTATTCATTTTATTTCTATTTATTTCTTCGATTTATAGACAACCTGATTAGTGGCAACCCACTATTCTCGGTGGTGAACAGAAGAAAACATAAAGCACCAAATAATAAAATCAAAGCAATAATAGAAAACTAATAATATAATATGAAAGACAAGTAAATAATAATTATAATTAAAAAATCTGACATATATATCCAGATTAGAGATACAGATAGTCGCATTTGTAAATAAATATGAATATCCCCGTCCCAGCTACAACGAATGCATGTCCAGCAGTTGGAAGTGACCCATCCACTTGTGTGTCCTGGCACCGCCCACATCCCGCTCTTTCCACCAATTGTGGAAGTAGCTCTGCTGGCTCCCTGCTTGGCTGGCCACTCAGCAGCCATGCAGGGAGACTCATACTCCCGCCCACTGCCCACCTCTAATCCAGATGCCTGTTGTGTGCTCCTGCTGATTCATTAACATGTGGATAAAAAAATGGATATCCCAGAAATGAAGAATCACAGGTAGAATTCTAAAAAGTACCAATATCTTCATGTTAATTATGTTTGCTGGTCATAAATATATCATTTATGGGGGCAGTGTAATTATGAAGACACAAGCAAAAAGCTTAGAACTGCCACCACAAGTTGAATTGCTTAGAGTTCTTGATACAAAATGATCTGCTAGCATTAAGACAGCAGGGGCACTGTAGAGGTGAGGCCTATTGAGGGCAGCTTGCCTAGTGCTCCCCCAATAACTCTTGGAACTGAAGCCATTAATTGGTGTCAGTTTCCAAAGTATCCCAGTAACTGTAGTTTAATTTGGATAATTATCTCTAAAAAGCTCCTCCTCCCTAATGCATTTCATGCCCATAATCAACCCCACTGACTAAGGAATGTGGGCTATGAACCTGGATTTATACAAGCATAATGTATGTGATACAGTATTTGAGACTGACAAAGTTTGGATTTGGGAGCATCGAATCTGACTTAAATGCTAGCAGAAACGTGTTAGAAAAGGTTTCAATTATTCTGAACATTCTGTTGGAGAACATATACTTTTGTTCCTTATGTAATCAAATTCAGGTAAACAAACTGTTGAGTTATTCAACAAACTGTACATACTGTTTGAAAGGAGATTAGAGCAAGGGTGTGGGATCTTTTCAGCCCATGGGCTACATCCAATTTCAAGGAGGTTCTCCAGAGAGAGGGGAGAGAAAATGTTGTGGTGATTGACAGAGCCAAAGGCAAAAAGGGTGGGGCAAAAAATTTAGCACATTTCAGCTTGCAGCTTTTACTGCCACTAACCAAGCATTAAGAGATGCAGCCTTCTAGAACAGAAAACAGATACAGTGGTGCCTCGCTTAATGGATGCTCTGTTTAGCGACGAAACTGCATAGCGACGAACTTTTTGCGATCGCTTTGCAATGTTTCCTATGGGTTTTTTTTGCTTTGCGATGATCGGTTCCCTGATTTTTAAACAGCTGATCGGTGGTTCCAAAATGGCCACCGGGTAAACAAAATGGCCACCCGCTGTGTTTTCGCACAGATTCCTCGCTTAAGAAGCAGCGAAAATGGCCGCCGTATGAATGATCTTCGCTTTAAGGTCAGTTTTTAGCCCATAGGAACTCATTAAACAGGTTTAATGCGTTTCTATGGGCTTTTTAAAATCGCATAGCGACGAAATCGCTTAGCAGCGATTTTTGCTGCACGGATTAACGTCACTATGCGAGGCACCACTGGATATAGCGATACGATGGGGAGAAGGACATATGGTTAAATCCCAAAGGGCTGGATTGGTATCTGTGTTGCACAATCAGAACAGTTTGGTACCATTTCAACCATCCTGCCTGCATTCTATGGAATCCTGGGATTTATAGTTTGGTCCGATAACGAGAATTCTCATCCAGAGAGCTTTAGTGTTTTCTTCTGAATATAGCAGCAAATTCTAAATATGCTACCAGAATTGTATAGGCTGGCACTAGAGCACCCAAACCCCTGTAACTGTGTCATTAAGATACACTCCTAGTCTACAGGTAACTCCTGTGGATATCCCCAAAAAACAGGGATGTGTCCTAGATGGGAGAGGCCCACCGATGTATCAGAGCTTGCATTCCGAGAGTCATATACATGGTGCCTGAAGCAAAGGACAAGATATCCCCCTCCTAGATCATATGTATGGACTGACAGATGAATCTTACTGTAATACTGGCCACAGGGGAAAGTCCTCCCCATGCCACGATGCTATAATTTAGCTTGACATGTCAAGGAAAAATTCAGCAGAGACCTGCTGTGTTCCCTAGCAGTGGCTGTTTAAGGCAGCTGCTTCAGCATAGCTACTGGTAGAGCCGTCCTGCTTTGAAATGAATACATACGGACACTAATCATCTGCCCTAATCTGGTTTTGGTTTCATTGCATTTACCTTAACACGAACTTCATGTGCTTTTGGTGGAGCCACTTCTATTTCCACAATGCTGATTGGTTTCTTAGGTTCCCAGACTACAGCTGCTTTGCATTTGATGACCTGTGGGGGGAAAATACAAGATGAGGTGGCATTTCTATATATAATTAAAAATTAGATTCCATGCATGTTTTTGCTGGAATGAAGCCTCCCTCCCTCCCTTCTAAGAATATGTTACCTTTATATGTAACAATGTTTTACTTTTGAAATGTTTAGTGTAATTTTTCCCTTGCTAGGACTGCACCCCAAACTGTCTGCTCTCAATTGTGCTGGTTAAAGATATGCAAAATATTTTTCCACATGAAAAGCCACCTTCATTGTGGAGAAAATGTTGGATCCAGACTCAGGAGACCTGTGTTCAAATCCCTGAAAGTCTGTGGAAGCTCACTGGGAGTAGGAAGTGCCCGTGGTAAATCAGTCCTTGAACATTTGACATCCTTTGAAAACCCTTATTAGAGTTGCCTTAAGTTAACAAGGATGCCATACAACATATGTTTTTCTACACATGCCGTCTCAAATGGTAGGACTCTGTCACCTGACAACACTCTTTCTGTGTTTATCAACTGGACTGAAGAAATGAAATTATAAAAGCTAAGTTCCTTCAGTGCTGGAAGAAGTCTTTCTACCTTTCCAAAAGGAACAGGTTTATTGGTTTGTCTTACTCTGTAGAGAAGGGCCAAGAAGCTTGCAATGAGTTCAATGGCAATGGTTGTTGTGGGTTTTTCGGGCTCTTTGGCCGTGTTCTGAAGGTTGTTCTTCCTGATGTTTCACCAGTCTCTGTGGCCGGCATCTTCAGAGGACAGAGAATGGTGAAACGTCAGGAAGAACAACCTTCAGAACGCGGTCAAAGAGCGATGGCTACTTCTTCTGAAAAGTTTCAGCTGCTCTAAGATGACTTGTTTTGTGGAAGAAAACAATTCACGTGCAGCATTTTTGAGATTCCTGAGCAGAAGCAGATTTTTGCTCCCGACAAAAAATTGCAACAAATTTGTTTTTATCTTATGATGCCATATGACTCCAAAAAGTAACAACAACGTTAAAAGGAATCGTCTACTTACTTTCCCTGCCGTGCTCATGGTTCTAGTCTTCGGAACAGATCTGCGTCTCTGTGTGGTTTTGGAAGGTCCTTAGTTTGCCCTCTGGTATTTAAAAGGCTTTCCTCTGAAAGCAGTTGTCATGGCAACAGAACTTGTCTCTCAATTGAGTATTATACCTACAGAGTCCCACCCAAAGAAGCCGAGCCACTCCCCTTGAGTCAATTTCTTCTCTTCAAAAGTTTCAATAATGGAATGGTTATGATTAGGTTACGTGGGAGTGTTTGGCTCTGGGCTGGATTAAGACATGCTGAAGCACTATGACACGACAAGTTTCAGGGGCCCCATTGCTTAAACGCAAAACATATGCATTCCGTTAAATGTGAAACAGAGGGCGTTTGTGGCATTGCCAATGTTGCTTTTGGCACTGTGGGGAAGGTGGGCCTTTTCCCCATAATTGGAGATCTTGAGATGTGGCTTGATTAGCTTGTTTCTTGTTTTGCTGACTTCGTATGTTGTGTTCCTGTATCTTTCTTTTGCTAGGTTTTGTTGTTCACTTGGAGATGTGAGATGAAGGGCACTTTTGTGATGATATGCAAGAAATATGCATATCTGTGGCTTTTAAAAAAATTGCAATTTCCAGAATTCCCCAGGCAGCAGAGTTGGGAAATTCTAGGAACTGCAATCAAAAAACACAAATCTGCACTCATCCGCTATATATAAAGGAGAGACAACTTGCAGCTTGCAGGCTGAGCAAAGCCCTACGGGTCCTCCATGTGTCCCTCCGTGACCCCGCTCCAGCACTCTGACACACACCCAAGCTTTAAAACCAAAAAAGAGGTCTTTTGCACTCTAAGGAGGTATGGGAGGATTTTTCTTATATTTTCTCCCTTATATTTAAGATCTAATGGAACCCAGGCTCAACCTCCCCAGTCCCCCGAATCGGCGAAACAGTCAAGGGGACAAAAACCTTAATTGCTTGCCACTTCTGGACCATTTCCCACTATGCATATCGTTTTAACACAAGAAACGTCCTGTAGTCTCCAGCTAAAATGATGTGATGCATGATTTAAACCAGTTTTATACTTAGCCGATGAACAAACAACCATGGCATCATTAGTAACCTACTCTAGGGCAAATGCCATTCCTCTCTTTCTTTCTTTCTTTCTTCCTTTCTTTCTTTCTTTCTTCCTTTCTTTCTTTCTTTCTTCCTTTCTTTCTTTCTTTCTTCCTTTCTTTCTTTCTTTCTTCCTTTCTTTCTTTCTTTCTTTCTTTCTAACTTCACCTTTCCACTAAAAGATAATGCTCAAGGCAGCTTGCAAAGTTATGAAAAGAAATCAAAACACATAATACCAACAGATAACTAAAACCCTAATAACTTAATATAAAAACCCTACCCCATCATAAAACCATAAACATTAAAAAATACTTTAAAAACATGAATAACATTAATTTTACAAAGGATACTAGATTAAAAACAACCTTGATCTCTCCCTGTTATTGGAGTTCACTTTATAAAGGTATTGCCAGCCATAACAGTTGGTGGTGAAGGCTTCTGGGAGTTGCAGTCCAAAACTCCTGAGTAACCCAAGGTTAAGAACCAGTGAAGTAACTTAATATAAAACCCTACCCCATCATAAAACCATAAAGATCATAAAAATACTTTAAAAACGTGAACAATATTAATTTTACAAAGGATACAGACTAAAAACAACCTTGATCTCTCCCAGTTATTGGAGTTCACTTTATAAAGGTATTGCCCAAATATATTTTTGAATCATAGGTGACTCTCCTATTGCATAGCTCCAGATGTACAATGGGAGTAATGTCAGTAGTGAGGGCAGATTGCTACTAACCTCTTCATTAGTTCTTTTTAATTTTTATTTTGGGGTGTGTGTGACTCACATGCAATGATATGAAGTCACATGGACCCATAAATTGAAAAAGGAACTGAATAACTAGTGGCAATTGCTGCTGCCCATGATGTCATTCTTCTTGCTAGGCAACAAGATGCCAGCCTAAATGTTTTAAATCTGGACTGGACAGCAGAATGTAGGGATGGATTGCCAGCTCAAAATAAAACCTCTCCATCTTATTAATGCATTAATCAAGCCTAAGGGCTGTTACATGTGCTAAAAGAACAATGGAAAGAACAGAGACCATCAGCAGCAGGTGGGAGACATGTTCTGAGCATGTTCTAATATGTTCTGAGCATAAATATATACCAAGGGCTACTGAACTCTAGAGATGGGCATGAACTGTGTTTTGGCAGTTTGGCTCAGTTTGGCGTGGTTCCTGCACAGGTGCTCCATGGGCACAGTATGTTTCTCTCCCCCTCCCCTGCCTCCTCTGGGTGATTGCTCACTCATTGGGAGGAGCGCAATTCCTTCCTCCGCCTCCTCAGGCAATCTTCCACTCATTGGCAGGATAGCGGGCTTCCCTGCCCTGTCCCCTTGTCTGAGTGTGCTACCAAATTTACCAGAAATTATAGACTTATTTGGCATGGTTCCTGCACAGGTGCTCCGTGGGCACAGCATGCTTCCCTTCCCTGCCTCCTCTGGGTGATTGCTCACTCATTGGGAGGAGCACAATTCCTTCCTCCGCCTCCTCAGGCAATCTTCCACTCATTGGCAGGATAGCGGGCTTCCCTGCCCTGTCCCCTTGTCTGAGTGTGCTACCAAATTTACCAGAAATTATAGACTTGTTCTTTGGCACTATCAAAACATTATGGATGCAAAATACATGCTGCACAGTTCAAACGGCAAGTAACAGAGTTTTTAAAATCTTAGGTGATGTAAAAATGTATAATTTGAAAAGTAAAATGATAATGATACTGTGAAAAGTAAAATGAACATCATAGACTCCTCAAACCCCTAACCTTGATCAAACAGCCATTTCTTCTTCCTCTCCCAGAGATTTGTTTCATGCAAATCTGGCTGTTTGTTTCCACAAAGTGTTCACCAGTGTTTCCAAGATGAAAGAAATGATTCGAAAACGTAGGAACCCTTTCCCTGAAACTTCATGTGAAGCTGCCAATGTTATGATAAAAGTTATGTGTGTGCTGGAACATGCAGAGTAGAATCTTAATTTTTATTTACTCATCTGTTTTTTTCCGCCCTTTAGTCCAGATTTTTAAAAACCTCTTTCACTCTCGATAAAGCTTTGTTGGAGTTCAAGTTGCTTCTTGTCTTTTGCATTTGTGGTGTCAGATTCCAGGCTCTGAGGATTTTATACCACTGTGCAAAGATGTCCAAATGTCAGTGAATGTTATACTAAGGAATAAAGCATGTGCCCTCCACACCCAAGCAAAATGCCCAGGAATACTACTGCTGGAAGAATTCCAGTTACCCAGTGAACCTCTTAAGACAGAGAATTTAGATCTCCCAGCTCTCAGAGCTGAGAATGCACTAATGTAGACCTCAAATTGCAGCAAATATTTGTTGTATTGTTGTAGGAATATTGTAGTGATCTCTCTGTAAGTGGTGCACACTACAACTGGAAGTTAGCCAGTGAACATCTTCAAGCACAGGATACAGTTCTCCCAATTTCTAGATTTCAGAGATGTATATATGCAAAAGTAGAAGACAATGTTCATCAAATTAACATCTCTCTTTTTATCTTAATAACCTCCTATATCACTATCTCCTTTACTGTGGACCAATTGTGAAACTGATACAACCAGTTTACAAATTGTGGCAAAAAAAAAAAGACACAAAAACGGTGTGGTCGTTGCATACCATCCGATCCACTAGCATCAAAAGACAAGTGTAAGTGATAATTTTCTTAGACTATTAAAAACCATACATTTTGTTATGGACCCATCAGCCACCAAGCTTGGAAGAATTCAAAGTTAAAGCATACTGTACAATTTCTCATACAGAGAATATGGCCCTGAAAGCTCAAAATAGATGAAAGTAGAGTCTGAACTGCATGAATATGGCCCTGAAAGCTCAAAATACATGAAAGTAGAGTCTGAATTGCAGATCGTATCAGAGAAGCGCTGTTTCTATGCCACTCCATCTCTCTCTTTGTCACACCCGCTGTTTCCATGCCACTCCATCTCTCTCTTTGTCACACCATCTCTGCAGCCACACAAAATTAGGGCAAAATGATCATTATATAAGAAGAGTGCATGGCTTCAGACAGGATGTTCCTGACTCCTTTTCTAGTGGGATGAGATTTAGGGGTCAAAATAGCTGATTTTAGGTGTTCTCTCATATTCAAAGCCTCTGGGAATATATGGTCTAGCTCCATTCCACCCACCATGTTGATGCACCACCCGCTATTTTGCTGAGCCTCAGAAAGGTCATTTTCATGGTGTAATACTGTTTCAAATGATAACAGCAACTATATTCTCTGCTGGAAGTTGCAGGAGAGAATGCGATTTTCAGAGATTGAAAACCAGTGTGTGCCCTGAAAAAGGTACCTTTCTTATATTTTAATTAGTGGCTCTGTCCTGTTCTGCAACTTTATGCCATTCAAGGATAATGTCATTACCTGACAATGATACTCTTAATAAAGATGAATTTAATTAAAATTAAAATTTCCTGTTCCCCTTTTTTTGTTCTGATTCATCATTTCCAATTTTCTTAACTCAAACGCCATTTTCTCTCTCTCCAATTCCATTTCAAATCGTCTTTGTTTCTCCCTTTCCCTTTCCTGTTTCTCTT